ATTCTAAAAAAAAAAAAAAAAGAAAAAAAGGAAGATAATACCGATAAGAAGTATAATCATTTAAACTAAAACGGAGAGTAAGAAAAGGGGGTCAGGCATCCCAAACCAATACAAAATCTTCTCAAATAGCATAACTGCATAAAATGGCCAATGTTTGGTACTTGGTAGCATAACATTAAACATAAAAGTTAAAAATGAAACTCAAAAAACGGTATTTTTGGTTTTAAAAGGCTTACAAGTTGACATTATTTAGAGGTTGGATTTTCTGCAGAAAATGTAAGTCAGAAATTAACTCTAAAGAAAATGCTATAGCACTAACAATGGATGAAATAGATAGGCCCGTAAGTCGAAGAAAAATGTTAAATTGGAACACCTTATGAAGATAAATGAGAAAGAAATAATCAGTGTCATGGCAAATTTTCCGATTTATTTAGCGATAAGTTTGGTCTAACCAACGCCATAAATCATCATATTGAAACTGGACAAAATGTTCCTTCTAGATCAAAGCCGTATGAATATAATACAGTTACAGAAAGAATCGATGAGGAACACATAAAAAACATGTTGGAAAAAAAATTATATTTCCAGTATCAAGCGCATACCCGAGTCTTGTCCTGTACAGAAGGAAAACTGAATATCCAGTATTTTTGATAATATTCAGTAATATTATATAATCTAGAAATAAGGTTATCTAGTAAATAAGAATATCTATCTATATATTCTTATCTAGTAATAATATAAATAATATTACTCTATAAGATTATCTAGTAAATAAAATTTTCGATTCGCTATTGACTACAATAAATTGAATAAAATTACTAAGTACTCTGTGTATCCCCTGTCTATTATAGAAAAATGATTTGTAGAATAAAACGTACATGGAACATGATAGCGACATACCTGACCAGCGAATACTTTCAGATAACTGTCAGACCGGTAGGTGTTAACAAAACGGCCTTTATCAAAAAATTAGGGACTTATGTGTTTTTATGCTTGCCGTCTAGGTTATCAGGTAGGCCAGTAACCTTTTAGCGGGCGATATATACAGTGGTGGCCAAAATTGTGGACACCTTTGGAAATTTTTATGTTTTTGAACTTTGTATGCTTATAGAAAACGTTATGTTTCACAAAATGCAAACTTGTATATATCATTTTAAAGAGAATTATTACTGAATCAATACAAACACAAAAATTCAATTATTTGCAATACAAAAAAAGTTAAACGATAAGTTATCGATATACATTAGATAGTGATGATTGCAGTGAGTTATTAGTACTTAGTAGGGTACCCTTTATTTTTGATTACAGCTTCACATCGATGTTAATTGAGCTGACAAGAGTTTTAAGCTCTTCTTTTGTTATTACATGATGCCAGGAAACAATTATAGCCTCAGTTAGTTCCCTTTTATTTGATGGGCGCCTCATTCGGACAAGAGTTTCAAACGGCGCCACAAATTTTCGATAGGATTGAGGTCAGGACTGTTTCCTGGCCATGACAACAATTTAATGCTCTTGGTACGAAACCACTCTTTCGATACTTTGGCCGTGTGGCAAGGAGCAGAATCCTGCTGAAAAATAAACGAAGCATTGTTGGGAAAGAGATCTCTGATGGAAGGTAGAAGTTTGGTTCTGAATAGGTCAAGTATTTTCTGGCATTCAGTGTCCCATCGATGACATGAAGGCGACGAATACCATCTGCTGACATGCATGACCAAATCATAACACTAACTGGGTTCTTCACAGTTACTTGAATGCAGTCAGGATGTAGCTCTTCTCCTATTCTACGTCTTACATATTTTCGCCCATAACTACCGAATAACGATATCTTAGTTTCATCACTCCATATAACTTGTGACCACTGATCATCTGACCAATTAATGTGTTCTTTTGCCCACTGTAGTCCTTTTTTTGTTGCTGAAAATGAAGATAAGGCTTTTTTCGTAGAATTCTACCTCTCAGTCCAACATCTGTTAATCTTTTCCTGATTGTTCTTGAACTGACAAAAACACCAGCATCATTCAGATCATTTCTGATGGCCGCTGATGACATTTTTCTATCTTGGAGACATAATCTTCTGTCATCAATAGATGTGGTGCACCTTTTTCGGCCTTTTCCTTCTTTGTTTTTTATTGAATTTGTCTCCTGATATCGTAAACCAAAACTTTCGGACTCCAGATGTAGTCACTGAACCACCCACCTGTCTTGCAGTTTCAGCATAGGAAAGACCACTTTCGTAAACACAATAATATTACATCTCTTTCTAGGTGTCCAATCTACTCTTTTATTTGATGTCATTGCTTCTTGACTAAATATAAAAATTTTTACGAAAATTCCTACTTGTAATTGCAGTGTATAAGAAACAGGTCCTCCTTCTATAGAACAAAGTAAAATAATGAATTGTTTCAAGTGTAAACATGATGTCAGCTTCTACTGGCAGTTACTAACATTTGATTGGTTCTCAGAATAAGAACAGTGATTGGCCATGAAAGCTAGACATTACAAACCACTTCATAACTGTGTTTTTTTATTTATATTAAAGTACATATAACTTTTTTTTTGTATTGCAAATAATTGAATTTTGTGTTTTGTATTGAATTCAGTGATAAATTCTCTTTAAAATGATATATACAAGTTTGCATTTTGTGAAACATAACGTTTTCTATAAGCATACAAAGTTCAAAAACATAAAAATTTCCAAAAGTGTCCACAATTTTGGCCACCTCTGTATATCATTCTTCAGCCGGTCCTGGGAAAAAACTGGTTTGCATACTTAAATGATATAATTGTAAACTTAGAAGAACATGTAAAAGCTCTCTGAAGTATTTTCTTTATTATCCGGGACTAAAAGCGAATAAAGAGAAATGTAAAATTGGTTGTAAAGAATTAAAATATATATTTGGCATTTAAGGTTATTTTAAAAGCATTAAGACAGGGGAATCAAAAATTCTCTCGGAAAAAATTTACCCACAAAACGTTAGCATCGTTTATCGGATTATGCACGTATTAGACAATGTTTATCAAAACCTTTTTTAGACATTTCGGAACTCCCTTTTGAGGTAAAAAAAGGAAAGGCTTGAATGATTTGAAGAGGCAGAAAAAGTCTTCCAGAGCCTAAAATTGGCATTTATAAGAGCACCGGCTTTAAAAGTACCCGATCCACAAAAGACCTTGCAGATTTACACGAATGCAACTGATTTTTCAACAGGAGCAATTTTGATGCAAGAGGAGCACCCGATAGCGTATTTTAGTATAACTATGAGTCCGGCTGAAAACACTTTATTTCTGGATGAAAGGGAAGCCCTGGCATGTGTGACTGCGGTGAAAAAAATTTGTTTATTTCTTGAAGAACCAGAATAAAATGTTCTCCGATCATGCTACGCTAACGAATAAGAAAATGTTAACAATTTAATACCGAAAGTGATAAGCTGAAGGTGCAAGAGTTCAGTTTGAAATTCCATCATCGCCCTGGAGGGAAAAATAAGAAAGCAGATTCTTTATCCAGATTTAAGTCAAATGAAAACGGCGTTAAAGTAAAATACATCATGTTAATGTCTTTCGGTTTAGATTCCAAGAAAATTCTGGCTAAGGAATTGCAGCGCAGTCCAGAATGTGGATAAATTTATATATGTTTAAAATATCCAGAAAAATGTCAAGCATTGAGAGAAATAGGATTTAGGTAGAGCCGAGAATTATTAACTAATCGATGACATTTTATTTTATGAAAAAAACAATGAATGAAAACTTAAACAACGAATTAAAACCGGTTAAACATAATAAGAGGGATTGTTTGTTATTATGTTTTGTTATTATAAATTTCACGCGAGTTACTTGAGAATCCAATTTCAGCACACATAGAGGTGCAGAAAACGATACAGAGTGCGATAAGCTGTGTTTTTCAAGTCGCAACAAATTTTGGGCTAGTATAGCCAGAGTTATGTTAAATGCTAGAAGTGTAAATACGTAAATTTCGTGCTGGTCGGCTACTTTATACGATCTAGTTTTCCAAATGAAATTTTAAGAATATTTTTATCGAGAATATTTTATCCTAGAATTCAGGTAAATAAAGCACTTTATTTGATAGTGATTGCTAACAATTTTTTCTAAGTGGTGTGAACTAGTATCATTATGCTGTGTTTCAGCTCCGTAACCTGTTACAACCTGATTTCACTCCATCGTTTCACTACAGTACTAGTAATAAGGGCAATATAATTACAATAACAAAAAAAAGTACTATAGGAACCTGTTATAACCTGATTTAACTCCAGTACTAGTAATAGAGACAATATTATTACAATAACAAAACAAGTACTATAGTAAATGTGATTTTTACCTTCGTGTAAGCTTATAGCTGTCTCACTGCCAGTGAGAAATCCGGGTATATTTGTGTGCTAACATGTCGACTATTTTTCACATTTGTATTCAGTAAATGATAAATGATTTGGACTTAGTAAATAATAAAATAAAGTCATATTTATGTTTAGTCTTATTGACTACAGATATGTTATGTCTTAAGTTAAGACTATATGTTAGGTTTTATGGACTATATGTTATGTAGACTAATGTTATGTCTTATAGATTCATAACATTACTAATATTTTTAAATTACAATATTTTCAAAATAAACGTTTTGGCATTGGTAGAAAGTTTTTTTACATATGTACCGAATACATTTGTCAGTTGTATTTCCTCGCGATGCGTTTATGCCATTAAAGGTAATAAATGCATCATAAAAATAGGCAATTTAAAAAACATATAGTAGACATATATAAGACATATCCATGATAATAATAATAAACTGAAACTGTTAGGCGATTTACTTCGTTACCGTTGATGAGTTAATAAAGAAATAACATCATTCCTCTCCACCAACTTACGTAGCAGAAGGTACAGCTTAGTGAAGATATTAAATTGATAGTTGAACTATACGAAGGTAGAACTTTCGTCTTCTACAAAAAGTATACACAATTAATTAACTGGCAAGCTGTTATAAAAAAAATTACCTGCAATCAGTATTATGTTTACTGTTTGAAAAGGTTTAGGACATAAATCATCCCTAGTGAGTGTGATGATAGGTTTATTCCTCAAAGAGCTTCTTTCATTTTGACCGCATCGAACATCATCTAGATCTAAAACCTTAAATGAAATGAAAGGATGGTGTTATTTCATATAAGGAATTTTTCATACGGTTTTACAAGAAATACAAAATAATATATTTTTATAATTTTATTAAGGGAATATTTATTCCTTTACTAAAAGAATGACTAGGAATGTATCTCTAATGTAATATCTTTATGTATGATGTCCTGGTTGATAAAAGTATACACATATATACAAATTGTACAATTTTTATTTCCGAAATGATCGCGTAGTATTTTAAACATAGGCGGCACAGGTAACAAATGCACCTAAGGTTACTGCCTAGGACTCTCATTGTCGAACACCAATCAAGTTGTTTTCAAGAGCGACAATGTTCCATAGAATTACAGAGACAAAATATTAAAATACTGTATTGTATACTGAATTGTTTAGCACTGCAGTCAAGAAGGCGATTTTCGAATATCTTCATATTAAATTTTGGAATAAACAAGCTAGCAATCGAACAAGTGAACAAGCTAGCAAATTTCAATAACCAGTATATTCATTACTATCTGACAAGGCACGGCCCTTCCCCACATATTTTTATTTAACACGGAGATGTACGTTTGTGTGAAAAATGGCGAGCCAGTTCCTAACATAATCAGTTACAATTTTAAAAAAGTCTCAACACATTAGATATCAATCGACAAATATGCAAGCATTAAAAAATATATTGTTACTAAATGTAAAGGCGTGGTAAGATGGCTTCTCCCCAAAGCAGTTTTAGGGTTGCCATAAAATGGCATGGGAAGGCAAAGTTGCCACATTTGGCGAGAAATCGCCCATTTGGCGACAAAATTGGCGATGTGCCATGGACGGATGGGAAACTTTTTGGAACGAATTCTTACCGGTTTAGCCCAGAATGTTCCCGAACACAAGCCGAAAGCTATATAAACCCTGCTGATCCGCAGTCAGTCAGTGTGTGCCTCGTCGAGACGGCGAGTCAAGAGTGCCTCGACTAGAGTGCGAGTTAGTTAGTATCGAGTTGGTGTCTGGTCTAGCGAGTCAATCCCTGCAGAGTCGATCGAGTTGACAGCCAGACAGCCAGTGCCGAGTGGGTCGTCGAGTGCACCGAAGAGTCTCTTAGTGTATCGCTTTAGTGCATCGTCGAGAGAGAGTGTTGAGCTCCGGGAGCGACTGAACCGAAGAGTCGGGAGCCGTGCTCTGTGTGCATCTGTGTAATCGAGTGCATCGCGAGTTGTAGCGTGGAGAGTCTCGAGAGTACGTGGAGTTCCGAGAAGGACCGAGCAGAGTCGGGAGCTGTACTCTGGTGCTTGCAGTGAAGCTGTCTGCACCGTGATAGCTTGATAACCTGAAAGCTGTGCTGATTGTGTCAGCGTGTTTATAGTAGATCTTCGACGACTGTAAAAACTGACTTTGGAGCTGTTCTGATAAATATTGGCTAAATAAAGTGTGTTTCGATACTTCATCATCAAGTGTCGTCATTATTCACTGCAAATCCATACGAACCCGGAAGGAAGAAAATAACGTAACAACTTGTATCAGGAAAAGAAAAGCGCAACAGTATCATAAAAGCAAAGAATCCAAAAATCAAAATTTTGCAAAGTAAACCTTCAGAACATAGTTACAGATGTATGCGAAGTCACTTAAGAAGATAACAATTATACAAAATTCAAGGTTCAACAAAATGACGGGTGCAGCTGGACTCTGGCACTCAGATAGAGTGTTCCATAGGCTCCTGACGGCTCGCGGGGTAGCGTCTGGGGATCGAGTGCGCGGTGCCTGGTGTTGGGTTTTCGTGGTCCCCTGATGAATGTCGTTTCTCTTGACATTTTCTAGGCTCAGAGATACCTCAATCCCCATTAGCTTCATGTTATGGTATGTTATTAAACTTTTGAGTCAATTCGACTTTCAAAAGATGTGAAAATGTCCTCAAATCATTATATCAATAGCGAACTTGAAAGCTCTGCGGCTGAGCTCCAGATTTAGCAGAATATTAGATGTTGAAGCTGTATTCAAAAACATCATACGAAAGAAACGAATATTCAACTATGAACGTTGCGACAAGATCCAGCGAAGCAGTTTCAAAAAGCATTCCTTCAAATCGCTTATGCACTGAGTAATCAAAATGTTAGAGATGCCCGCTAATAATGTATTGGTTCACCTTTACCTTTGTTAGTATGCGATATTCTTTTGGCATGGACTCAACAGAAGGCTAATATTATTCTTGACCCCTTGCTAACCTAATGGCAACTCTATATATTCATTCGGATTGAATACTGATTTTCCAAGCGTTGAAGTGATCTTTTCACTTCTTTTTCCAAATATTGAATAGGATTGAAGTAAGGGATCTGAACTAACCATGGAAGTATTCTAAACTCAGTCATGCCCTTCAAATCAATCTGAGACGAATTGTAGTAACAAGGCTTATATCCCGTTTAAAGTCATCAAATTCAGGTAACATCGCAAGCATAACCGAATGCATTTGATGGGCTTCGAAACTGGACTTCGAAGCTGTGATTATAGATAATTATTTCATATATATCAAGAGACTTAACTGCACTTCAGAAAAATATTCCCTAGATCATAATTCAACCACCATTAAGTGAAAAATTTGTCATTAGTTCAAGAGGGTTTCGTGAATGTATTCTGTTTGCTCCATATTCTGACCATTTCATCTCATGATTGAGCAAGAAACGAGATTCAATAGACTTCACCTTGCAATGTTTTTCCAGTCATCTGATATCCAGTTTTAATTCTTCTGCATACACAGCAACTATGATTTCCTGTTCACCAGTAATAAAATAGGCACTTTTACGGTATTCGGTATTCTGCTGTTAAAACATATATATAGTTGTCGAGTTGTGTTTGGATGGTCCAAGATAAAACGAACCGAACATGTGAGGCTTTACTTGCTGAGCAATCAATCCTGGCTTTTGGGCTCCTGTGCATCACCGTAAAAACTAGTCTGTGTTACAAAAACAAGCGTCTGTAATATTTTGTATGTATATCAAACCTCTCAGTATATATATAAAATACACATTTCTCAAACACTTTCTTCAGAGAAGCAGCAATCTGAAGAGTTCATCAGGCTTAGTATATACTGATAATTTCTTTGTGGTCATTCAAAAATAGATGCAAGCTTATTAGCGGAAAACTGCATAAATCTGCTTTTTGCTTTAATGCAAACGGCAAGTGAGGGTCCAATAAGCAGACACCAATCTGCTATTAATGTTGAAGAAATAACCATAAGCATTGTTCAGATACTGGATATCACTTCCACAGTAGCAAATGCACCAAAAGAAGTTAATTCTTGTATTCATATGCAAAATACTTATCTTCGCGTTTGAGACGCCGCCGTACAAATTTTTCTGGTAATTTTGGTATCAGTAGCTGCAACTTAGAGGAGTTTTTCTAAGCTGAAGTTGATAAAGAAAAAACTTTGCTTTAGTCAAGAGAAGTCAAGAGAAGTTGAATTTCTTTACACGTTTATAAATAAAAAATTTCAAGAGTTACAATTTTATGCTTTTATCGATTCCTGAATTTTACGATAAGCACAAAGATTTATTAATAAATTATAACAAGCTGCAAAAATAAAAAATTATATTACTTTTAATTAACTAAATAACTATAAATATAGTTTGAAATATTAACATTCTCATTTCTTTGTGGACGTCAACCATATTGGTTGCCTAGGAAGCTAAAACTGCTGGAGCCAAGACTACATTTCGGCATGAATGAATTAATAAGGGTTTAAATTTGATGTATATATAGTAATTATTGGGATCAGAGCCATGTCTACATATTTTTAACCTGAGGCAAAGAGGTATATGTGCACCCTATATAGTACAATGTGCAAGGTGTCTACCCATTAAAAATAAAAAAGTACACACACATATATATGTAATAAGACTGTGCTATTACTGTAACATGACTGCGGCATTATTGTAATGACTTAATGGAAAGTTGTAACGGATTGGCTTTGAAGAGTAACCACGTAGTTAGTAAGATGACATTAGAAAGATGACTTGGCGGTAAAATTCACACATAATTTTATTCCATGGTAATGCACATCATCACTATGGGTGCGCTATGCACCCCATAATTTTACAGAGCTTACCTTTTCTAAACAATCGAAGAAAATTAGAAAATTAAACTCTGTGTGGCTAGCGGCAAAGTGACATAAGCTTCTAGAAGCAGAAGGAAAGAAAGAAAAGAGGGAGCTGCGACGCAGTTAACCTTTTATACCGACTTCCATTTCAGATCACACGACTGAAATATATCCAGATGTTAGGTTCAGATTTCATCAATAAGTGCGCGATACAGATTAGATGACGGATCCTAATATTTTTTCTTCCACCATGCTCACCCAATCTTTCTTTTGAGGGGGGGGGATATGTATGATATAACAAAATACGATTGCCGCTTTAAGAAATGATTGGCGATCTCAAAATTAATTATTCTAGATTTTATGTTCTCCCTTCTAAATTCATATGTTCGCCCAAATTCGAGATCTTTCCATGGGTCATAACAACCTAAAATTAATCAATCATAGCTTAGAGTACTTTCTGCATATACCGCACGCAAGTAATTATGTCATCTTCTCCTCTACAACACTGCGCTGCTTAGCCTTGCTAAAAATCCTTGCGTCATGACTTTAGAAACCAGTGTACATAAAAATTATTGTATTTAACAATGATCGCATAAAATGTTTTATCTACCAAAAGCGAGTTGATGTGAATTATCATAGAATCAAGTTGTGTTTGGAAAAGGCCACGTCTGGAAGTTACTGGTTTATGTATCATTTTAACTAACAGCGCATCGAAAATTCTACATATATACATACACATACATGTTAATATACGTTAACTAGATCTATATATTTTTAAATGTATAGTTCATTCATTATTAAATCATGATACGACGATTTTTAAAGTAATATTTGATTATAACGTTGTGTATTCGGAGAAATGACGGCTAGAATAATGTACAGTTTTGAAATAAAAAAAAATTAAAAATTTCCTTTCTGATAAATGATAAAATAACATTGAAATAATATAAATAATATATAACGTTGCGCGCCTCTAACTAGCACGCAACCAAGAGGTGACTGTGAAAGCTTGTATAAACCACAGAGTCTTATAAAGGGTTTAAGTCCCTTTTTATTCAACGTACTAATTTACAATTGCGTTCTCTTGACGCTTACAAACGGTGCCAACTCGGCAGTCAAAATAAAATTAAAAACCTGAAAAGAAATTAAAGACAATATTCAAACTACGAGGCTCTCTCAAATAACTAACTCACCGCGTTTTACAATACGGCTGCTAATTCAGCAGACTTGAAGCTCACTGGAACAATTGCACTACTTCCCGCCAAGCACATAGGCCGCAACGCGGGGTTTTTCAAATCTCTATAACTACCTCCGCGCTCGCTAAGTAAGAATAACTCTCTCTCACCGAACTTGTTTCCTTCTATTTAAATCATACTACTTCCGCTGATAATTTGAATGCTTGCGCGTTCTACTCAAATTTACATATTCTGGCATTGGCAGTTCCAGGGGAAAGTAAGGATTGACAGGAAAGATAGTTTAAACTTAAAATAAATGTTAGTTAAAATAAATATAAACCCTACAAATAATGTAGTTAATATGCAAAATAACTCACTCATTTTCAAGCATTTTTAATAATTTTAATTTTCTTTCTAAAAACAAAGAACACTATCAATGTATTCTTTGTTTTTACAAAGAAAATTAATATTACATTAATATTAACAAAGCATGAGGGCTCGAGATAATCTAAAAAACGATTAAGTGTGATACCAATATTAGAAAATTTCAAAATTTATCGATAAATAGCTAGACTAATTTGAATAGAACTGAACGTGAGAATGATTTCTGAGCTATTAGCGCCTCACACACATCTTCACATTGCTCTCTTTAGGAACCAAATTGACAATTACCGAGTACTGTTTATTTGCCATCTTTATTCTAAAATGAAAACTTTGCTAAGTAGATTAAGGTTTTTGAATTTGCTAAGTAGATTAAGGTTTTTTAATTGTTGTACCCAACAGAATGTGAGACAAATGCTCAACAGTATTTTGGGAAATAAGTTCTAGGCTTACTTCCAGAAATGAAAATAATCTAAAGCAGAATATATATATGTAAAATTTATGTACTCTGAAAACGGCATTATCCACTACTAATCGAAACATTTTTAAAAGCACACTCCGAAAATTACATTGTCTTGACTTGTACATATGTATGTTGGACACACGCAAAGAATATTGAACTGACCGTAACTTTTTTGGATTGTGAAGCAACAAGAAATGTCTATATGTATTTTATGCACAAATATCTAATTGAAGGACCTGAAATAAACACATTTATGTTTAGTTTCTATAAAGAGGCCAACTACATCTGGGATCTCAATAAATTTTAGAAAATCGATTTTCAAATATATAATAATAGTTACTTTATTAGTTTATTTAATTCATAAGAACAGTTAGTTTATAGTGAGCTCATTTAATACTTAAAAATAATTTACTTACTGAACTGTTGTGGGATATCAACCAGTTCCTGAAACCCCAAGTATCACAGTCGCAGATCCATGAATTATTGGATAGTGTTATTAAACTTAAAGATGTACTGTTCCATTCATCGATGGGAAACCTTCCAAGTTCATTGCTAGCTAATCTGAGTTCTTTCATTCCAGAAGGAAGAACAAGTTTTATTTCTTTCAAGCTGTTGTATTCCAAGTCTACTTTTTTCAAATCTTCGTATTCTGTGGAACTCAAACCATCAAATGTGTTAATTTGGTTATGACTCAAGTTTATAATACCAGTGTTGGATGGCATCTCCGGTATTTGATTTAAACCCCTTCCAGAACAGTTGACACTGATGGTGATATTTTCGCCTTCTGCAGTGCATAAACAGTCACATATTTCCGGACAGTTTTCGTTCCATGATTCTACATCAGTGAGTTTTAAAGAGCGGATTTTTGTACCATTGAGAGAAGGAGGCGATTGACAAACAGGATCATCTTTCAAGAAGGAGTCTTTCTTGCTGATCCACTCTAAAATCCAGGAAATACGACAGTCACAAGCCCATGGATTATCTGAATGGTAAAATAATATATGAATCATCTTTAAACAAAATTAAACAAGTTGTAGGAAAATGTTATAAAATCATTTTTAAAGAACGAAAAAACAAAGGCAAACACTGAACTGAGACTGACGTTAGATTTAAAAGAAAACTATGCCTTTCAGGGAAGGCAGGTGTACAGTCAGTTATAAAGTATTTCTCCCACCTTCTTAGCATGTCTTCGTAGTGTAGTGGTCTGCACGCTGGGCGCGTATTCCAGAGGTCTGTGGTTCGATTCCCAGCGAAGGCGCTGCTCATTTTTCACTTCTCCTGTTTACAAAAAATTTTAATGTATATATATAGTCTTTGGCAAGTAGTAAAAATATTCTGCGGTGGTGTACGGAAATACGTCATTTAAAGATCAAAGTAAATAAAAAATAGGGTTAAACAATTATATCGTCATGTGTTGAGCTAACTAGAAATTGAAAAAAAAAAAAAAAAACCCTCAAATTATGAAAAAGGCAATCATGAGTTAAAGTTGACAAATTTTCGCGACTGGGATCTAATTCACCTACTGCAGATATCTTTCAGATAATTTTAGGAGAATGAAACTTAAAAGAATTATTAAGAGATTAACAATTATTAACTGTGCAATACTTATTTATTTCTACTTTCCTTAAAAAGTTTTATTCAAAGTTCGCTTTCTTGGTTTAGTCGATGTATGTTAAATAACATTCACAAGGAGTGTTGCGAACTTTCCAAAAACTAAAATCTGAAATATGATTTTAAGAAATGAGAGATGAATTTTATTATTTGGATGGAAAATAACTTGATATATTGAGTTATGGGAACCGTTTTAAATAAAAAAAAAGGGGGGAAACAAGATGGCAATGTTGACCTGAGACTTATCTTATTGGAATCTTTATAGTGGTAAGAAGAAGAACGATTTTATCAATAGTAAAAAATAAAAATTATCTGAGCCACTAGCAACAGCCCGTGGATAATTAAGATGCTAAATAAGAGGAGATTGTGGAAAACAAACTTTAACGTTAGGATGTTTTACTAGAATACGTCAAAGCACTCGAAAGCTCTTTGCCTAAGGAAAGCAGACCTTGACGATGGGAAATACGTAAAACGTATTTAATTTAGTGACAAGATTTGGCATGAGGAGGAAAGCGAATAGAAAAAGGTTTCTAACTTACTGGTATGCTAGAAGAAGGTCAAAAGAAAGCCATTTTCGGAATTCAATTTCAAATGTGAATTGAAAGAGGGAAAGTGTATTGATGGAATCCATAATTTACTCTTTGTCGACATTTAAATGATGCATTTCTGGACTACGCAGAAGAATATTTTCACTTCAGGAAGAAAATGAACTCCGTATCTGTCTCTCGAAATGCGTAGAAATTGTCTTTAAAACCAACTTCAATCTAAGCCTGAATTTTGCCTTGACTTAAAGTTATATTTATTGATTATGCTAATTGTATTGACTATTAACATACCGTGGATTTTGTATATTGAGTTAACTATCAGAACTAAAGCTACTAATATTAACATTTATAAAATAAACTGTATAAAAATTATCATTAAGAAAAGAATATTGAAACAAATAGCATACATAGTGTAAGCAATTTGAAGAAACCGCAGTAAATTATGTTAAAACTATTTACGACTAAGATGTATATTAAAGCATTTGAAAAATCACATAAATTCCTAGCCTTTACCAGGATTTTTTCTGTCATTATAACGTTTAAACTTCAAAAACAAGAGCAAGAACCTTCTTGTAAGGTTTCCCTTATTTTGCATAACAAATTTATTTTAAGTTTGATACCTTTACTGAACTTCTCAACTTCCTTCTCACATTCTGTCGCCAGGATGTAAATTTAAAGTGCGTATTTAAACGGGTGAATCTCTGAGTTTATTCAGAGTGTGTTTTTGCTAGCCAGGGCACGTTTCGTTGTTGCTTCACTGTTACGCTAGTCAACCTCTTGGCCATTCGGATTATTGTCACGCCTCTTAGGTTTTTGTGAGTCAACCTGTTAGGCCTAACTTACGTGCTATCCAGCACTAGTTATTTTAGATTTTTGACTTGAATTATATTCTACGTTTTTATTTTCACCTCAAGTATGACGGTGCCATTTTAACGCACGAAAATAGTACCTATCCTACTTCTCATAGAATAAGGAATAAGAAGGTAAATTTTATTAGTATCTAAAACTAGATGTTTAAATTCCATTAGGATTTTTATTGAAAAATTTAGGATCGATAATTTCACATTGATACTAGTTGGAAAGTAAATAAATAACAAATAAACGGATCAACTAGATCAAAATCTGTTAAAAAATTTCCTCAAAGAATTTATAAGAAAATCAACTTTCAATAAAAAAAACTTTTCCATTGTGTACAAAAAATATTTTTCTAGAATAAACTAGCTAACTGTAGTTATCAGTCAGGATATAATTATAATATTAAAATAGTGATAAATGAAGTAGAAACATATAAGGTATTTTCTTTCTCTTTTCTGCATGACTACGTGGTGTAACGGTAGCACACACGGCGCGTATTCGAGAGGTCCAGGTTCGAGTTCCGGCGAGGCATTGCTCATTTTTCATGTTTCTTACTTCAAAAATCCTAATGACTCTACGAACATAACATTTCTGTAGTGTGCTAAACATAAAGGCTGGATATTTTTTTATGCAGATTATTTCCATATGAGTCGAGCTAGTTATTCTTATTGTTCCTGTAGGAAAAGGCCTTTTTCATTTTATTTCGAACAAAACATAATACGATTGGTGCCATTCGAAAAGTATTTTTATTAGCTCAAATTAGACATTTTGCATAAAATCTTCTAATATTATAAATTAGGATTGAAAAGTAATAAGATCTATTCGTAACAAAATTACATGAAATATTTTTAAAATATAGCGAAACTTTATTTTTAAGAAATTAATAATCAAAAATGACAAACATTTTATCTCACAAAAGTCTTCGTACACTGAAATATTTTTGGATAAAATCGAAATTAAAATTATCGTTTGCCGCTTTTTTTAATTTTTGCCTTGTGGTGGCATTTAAAAAATCGTTTGCTTTTAATTTTTTATTGTTTACTTCAGAATATTCTATTTATTATTGAAAAAGGGGTCGCGGTCTTAAAGAAATTACAAACAGCATTCGAAAATTGATAATTTTTCACCATAGTAGTGGCAAATCAACTCGAAATATCGCTAAATTAGTTAATTTATCCTAGTCTACAGTGCAATATGTGATAAAACGCTTTAAAGAAGAAAATTGGATTGAAAACAAGGTAAGAAAAGATCGTCCAAGAAAGTTAACTAAACGTGATGAGAGAATTTGTGAAAACACACGTTTAAGTGCTGTATAAGTTTCTGCAGAATTTAATGAAAAGTTTTCTACTTCAATTTCACCTGAAACTGTTCGACGAGTTCTCAGAGAAGCTGGATTACATGGGCGTTCTGCCCGTATAAAATGTTTTGTTAGTGAGAAAAACAGAAAGCTTAGGTTTTCATTCGCAAAATCAATGATAAATATATCCGAAACGTACTGAAACAATGTCCTATTTGCTGACGAAAGCAAATTTAACATTTTTGGTTTCGATGGTCGAATAACTATATGGCGAAGAAAAAATGAGGAACTTCATTCTAAGAACTTAGTTGGAACAGTTAAGCATGGTGGTGGAGGTGTTCTTGTGCATGGCAGCATCAGGACTAGGTAATTTGGTATTTATTGATGGCATAATGAATCATTCTCTTTGTTTAAATATTTTAAGACACAATTTAAAATTATCAGCCCAAAATTTGGGTATTGGAAACAACTTTATTTTTAATTATGATAACGATCCTAAACATATGGCTCTCAACGTTCGCCTGTGGTGTCTCTATAATTGTCCACAGGTTTTGAAACACTACTTCAGTCGCCAGATTTAAACTCCACAGAATACATTTGGAAAGAACTTTAGGTTAAAGTACAAAAACACAACATCAAAACAAAAAGTCATGACGGAAAAATGGATGAACATTAATACAGAAATTACAAAAAAACTAGTAAAATCTATTCCCAGGCGTTTAAAAGCTGTTGTGAATGCTAAAGGATATCCTACTAAATATTAATTTAACGAAAAATGAAAATATTCACTAATATGTCAAGATTTTTTTGAAGTGTACGAAGACTTTTGTGAGATAAAATGTTTGTCATTTTTTATTATTATTTTTTTAAAAATAAATTTTCGATATATTTTAAGCATATTTCATGTAATTTTGTTACGAATAGATTATAGATCTCATTATTAAAATCTCATTCAGAAAGTTTATTTTTAATTAATGGATAGAGCCCTATTTCAATGAAAATCATAAGTGTACAAACACTTTTGGGAGCCGCTGTATGTCTCCGTTGAATACATATATTTTAGCAAATGACAAGCGATAACAGGAATAACTTTTTTCACCTTTTGAAAGATAAAGTAGTTTAGACAGGCGTTTTTTAGTTGCATATTAAAAAAACTGTAAAATACTGCAAATGATCATATCACAACTCAATTGTTGTAGTATATAATAACTTCTCAGTGCTATGTATTTTTGAAATTTTCAGTATTGTATTTAAAGAAAAGATTAAATGACTTTCAATTACTTATAATGTAAAAATATAAATTCTTATGACATACTCAAAATGCCAAATGAAAACAAATTCATCGTGATTTCTTATTTTTGCAACTTTAACATTTAGCAATAACAGATTCCACTAGTTAATTATATTAAATTAAATAATGTTAATTGATTTCTTTTTTAATTGCTTTAATATGCGTAGTGTTCATTAGTTTTACTTCTCATTTACCAATTTTAAAACTGACAGTGTTTTTACACAAAATTAGTTTTTAGTTTAGAAAAGAGTAAAAGAAAGTCATTAAAAGAAGCTAATTTCACGCAACATATTTATCATTAAAGAACATTCATCTTACCTGCCATCCAAAGGTTGACTTTTTTCCTTTTGAAATTGGGAAAAGAATCCTTTGTCAGAGTTGTCAAATTGTTCATCGAAACATCCAAATTTTTTATACTAGTGAGATTCCGGAATGCTCCATATACCGAATATAAGTTATTATTTTTCAAATTAATGAATTTTATCTTTTGCAGTGCAATTAGTTCACCTTCTTTAATGGATTCCAAATACGAAGATGCGATAGTGAGATTCGCAAGATGCGTTAAATGTTGAATGGTTCCATTTAGTGCTGTTAAGCTACTAAATGACAAATCCAAAACTTCGAGTTTGTGCTGTTTAGAAAAGCATCCTTCTTCTATTGCATTCAGAGCATTTCCTGATAAATTAAGATGCGTAACTGAAGTCAAGTTCTTGAAAGCATCACTCTCAATGAAGGATATTTCATTCCTACTAAGATCCAAATTCTGTACCGATTCAAGGGAAGCTTCCAAAGCAATGGAACTGAAATTATTACCACTCAAACTAATGTTCTTGAAAGAATACTCCTCTTTATCATTTGGAAATAGTCCATCCATTGAACTCAGAATGTTATCATTTAGTTCAACGGTTTCCAGATAATGCGAGTTTTTAAAAAAATTCGCTGGTAGGCTCATTAAATTATTTTTGTTCAGATATATAGCCTTAAGTTTTGGGAAGCTGTCCATTAGATGAGGATCCAAATTATCGAATTTGATTTCTGAAAGATACAGTTTTTTCAGATTCTTCAGAGAATCCCCAAGAGCAGAAAGATTAAGTTTTAACTGAGGATTTTTCCCTAGATTCAACGAATCTAAAGTCCACATTTTAATAGGAAATGCATTGTCAATGTTTTTTAAGTTGTTGCCATATAAATTTATCGTCTGAAATTTAAAAAAAATAAGAAAAATTAATATAAAGTATACTCATTTTATTTTTGAAAGACTTTTAAAAGTACTACCAAATTTATTTATAACTTTAAAGGAATAAAAATCATTTTAGTGTCTTTCTTTGTTTTAATTCGACCCACCAGTAACCAAGCGGGAAAATCACACAGCACTAGTAGTTCGATTCGGATTCACGTCTCAGCTAATGACAGATTTCATGGTTTTTTCCATATGTAACCTGAATGCAAGTCACATTTCCCTCAAAAAGACTCTACAGGAAGTCTTCGCTACCCCTTTGGCTGATAGTCCTCACATGCTTTACCGCAATCTAAATTCCACACTTTGTCGATCCATATTTTTTTTTTATTTTTTTATTTTTTTTTGGGGGGGGGGAACTATAAAGTAAATTTTCACGAAATGATGCACTTTATTTTTTTTCCTTCGCTAATTTAATTGTGCTGATCCTGTTAGGAAGGATCCTGTTGTTATTAAGTTAAAATGTTGATTCCTTTTCAGTTCAACTTTTTTCATGTCAGACTAAGACAAAATTGTCTCAGATCACGTTCTTTAATTTTGCACCTAGTTCAGAATTCAGTTTGGTTACCTGAGTGATTTCGTCTAGTTTGAACTGTTAAAAAAATATTTTTGAAAAGGGCCTATCTTACAAGAACTGATATCAGGAAAATTACCGTATACGCATATTACAGGTAGAGAATACCACAAAATTTTCAAGGTAAACAACGCATTCCACGGAATTAATTTGCGGATGAAACAATTAGTATTCAATGGCTTCGGAGTTTCTGGAATTCTTTGATATTGGCAGCTGTTTGTACTTGCTGTTTGTACAAACGGCTGTCAATACTTAAATTCTAAGAACTATATGAAAGAATGTGAAAGAATTCTTGTTTTATCAAGTTAATAGAGTACTGGATTAAATTATTCGGATGCAAGCTGGCCTGCTAATTCAAATTTTAATAAAAGTTTTAAAATAATGAATAACTGGCCCTTACCTCAAAGAAACGATAACCAATGCCATAGCGATAAAATCCAAGAAAGACCAATGAATATTGGTCATTTTTTCGCATAACATCAGAACGAATTTCCTGCATAATATTTCGAGGTGTATAATGAACAATCGATTATCCTTATAAATCTTTTCAAGACGACATACCTCCAAAATGGTATATAGGAATGCTTTGTTATTAATATACATCCTTTAACTTTTAATTCAGTTTTGAAATTTTTTATGGAAAAAAGGAGTTTCAGTTTTATAGGTCTTACTTAAAACTCTTACTTAAATATAATAATTTGAGCAATTAAAGTTTTACAATTATTTTTTTTTTTTTTTTCAATTTAAAAAAATTGTCGATATTTGAGAACATTTCGAACGGATCATTTTCTACCTTATTCTTCCAAGTGTTGATCTTTTTAATTAAACTTTGAATTTTATTATTCCAATTAAATATATGTCTATTTTTTTTCCTTGAAAAAGGCAAGTTCATTTTGCTTAGTTTCTCAGAAATATCTGATAAACAGCATAGCTTTGATAGCCATAAGTCATTTTGAAAAAAAAAAAAAAAAAAGCAAGGTCAGAATTTTGTTTGGTTAAAAATGTTATAATTTCGTCTTTTAATAGCAAGAATCATCTTAAACTTCGCCCACTTGACATCCATTTTACTTCTGCGGGTAACAATAAAATTGTGTCGTGCCTTTACGGGAGAAAAGGTTTCTAAGCTTCCTAAGCATTATGTATAACATATTCTATAAACCTTTTCTTTTTTTTTTTTATTTCGTCCATTGTGTTGAATGTTTCCTGAATTTTCTGCTGCTACTTATCTACCTTTGAAACTTAGGCTCCACAAAGTGTTTAGTAAAGAACCATTACACATTAAAGATTCTCATATAAAGAAGTTTTAAATTACAGCACATATTTCTTCCGAGAAATTCGATAGAATCTTGTGTTCTAATGCATAAATTTAAATAATATTCTATTTTGAACAACAATAAATTGGAATTAAATATTTTGCCACTCAAAAATTATATTAATGAGATATCGTTAACGTGCTTATATATAATAAATAAATACTTCATAAGCAGATGATAACAAGGCGGTTACCGTCAAATTTACAATGATTTATGATTTGATGTTATACAAAATTTTGAAATTTGTAGGAATATAAAGGGGCAATAATCAGTGGAAAATTATATAAAATACGTGATAAGAATTTTTATGCTTCATTTTAAGTATTAAAATACTAATAATTAGTTAAGTTTTTTTTTATCTCATTTGCTTTACTGATCTAATGAATGTACGGTAGTGGTTCAAGTGTTCAAGAATATAAGCTTCTTTTATTGATTTAAAAGTGTTATTTTAAATCAGTGTTTCTCGATACGCTTCAAACTTAAAAGCTAATTTGACACCCTTCCTAGTCGCCCTTTCACCTGCTTGACCCTTAATGCGACTTTGAATGTAACTACTCGTTTCAAAATGAAATTGTGCACCAGCCTTTATTTACATATATATTCCCCGTTTAGATCAATGTCACGAAACATAAAATTTAAACATGCAATTTTATGCCATTCAGAGAGGTCCTAAATGAAATATTGTTGTACATATACGATGACATCATTAATGAATTATCCTTATTAAGATATCAGCTAATCATCCGCATTCTTGGTCAGATTATTCTAAAACAATGTTGATTTCTAATGTCAGAATAGAAATCACTTACCTGTGGATTTATTGACTTGAAGCACTCGTCCACGTTAAACAGCTGGTTATTACTCAAATCAATGCTTCTTAGATGACCCAAAGAGTCGAAAGTTTCTGGATCTAAATGCTGAAGCTTATTGTGAGACAAGTCCAGATATTGTAAGGACGTTGTCTCAAGAAAAGCATCTTTTGAAATTTCAGTTATAACATTGTTATATAGAAGAATAGTTTCTATTTCTGTCATGTTCTTCATTTGTTCTTCAAGACTCGTTAAGGCTCCATGAACCAACTGCAAGGTTGTGAGTGACGGTATTATTAAACCTTCTGGAATTCCAGTGAAGGTAGTACCATTAAAATTCACAATCTTTAAATTCTTGATTCCAAATAACGCATCATCCGGTATGCTCTCCAAAGGACTGCTGATAGCTAGAACAGTAATACTGCGTCCACTAAAAACTTTTCCGGGCATACTAGTAATATTAGACTGCGATATGACTAACCTGTAAATTTTTGGATATTTAGTTATAACAGGTACAATAGATTCCAAATTCGTTACATTTTTGCAATATATTTTAATTCCATGCTTTCCTATACAATAACATGGAGGCTCTTTCAGACATTCATCAGAGAATGCTTCAGAGGCTGTCCACAAATATAGCAAAACTATATTTAACATGCATAGAACAAGATGCATGTTTAGCTCTTTCATCAAATGACGTTTATGCTTATTCCTGAAACTGCCAGCTCTATAAAGGACATTCAGAAGAGTTAATTTTAAGAAGCGAAAAGTTTTCTTATCGAAGATAACGGTGGGAAAAAAAATAGTTCCGTTACAAGCCTTTGGCAGTTTTTCATTGAACAAGCATTGCTTTTTATCATTATTTTATCAGTCCTGCAATTTCTTTTTGCTTCCTTTTTACATCCCGACCCGATTATCTTTTTCCGGTAAATAGAGAGGCAACTTCTTTATTACATATCAAAGGTATGTTTTCTCTTATTTAAAGTTCTACTTTTAACAGCTTTAATGAAATACTTTTATTATTTACTTTTAAGTTTTTGTAAACACTTATAAAGTGGTACCACTGTCAGGACTTGTGTTTCTCTTGATTTGCTTTGGAAACATGGAATGCCCTGAATAAGAACAGGGAGCTTACTGAAGCTATGTTCATAACAGGTGTGAAGTGGACAACACAGGCAGGAAGGGTATACGAAAACCCTTTATTTTCAATACTTTACAGGCACTTCCGAGCTTCGGAATACAGAGACCAACCACTTGTGGTCTGAACGTAAGAACATAAAACTACTAACTAAAACTCTAACTAAAAGCTAACTTTGAATTAGTATACAAATGCTTAGCACTAAGACTGGCCTTTATTTAAAAAAGGTACGTATGTAGCACGCCGAGCTGCTGAAACTACAATACGTTTGCAAATATCAAGAGGGCTAAACCTCTGGCCTTAAAGGCAACCAGCAACCGAGTGAAAACTCATAAAACTGCAGTGGCAAGCGGTTTGCTTCCTAAAACTCCATCTCTCTCCCGCTTGGCAAAAAGCCACAACTTAAGTACTTGGGAGTTAGCAAGACAATTTGCATAAACAAGTTAAAGCATTTAATTCTGGCCGGAAGTAGAAAATAAGAAGTGATAGTACAGTTTTAAAATAAAATAAACGTTAGTAAAACTTAGAATCCTTACACCACTTATAAAGGTTTTTATAAAAGTGTTTCTTCCAACAAGTTATGAGAAGAACTAAATAATTTTGAGGGAAGAAAAATATTAAATACGTTAGGAATCAATTTATTCTTAATAAAAAGTGTAATTAGTAAAACCAGTCCGCAATGATATCCCAGTCTTCGTTTTATATGGCCATCGGTTGATTGCGTCAAGCACTTATTTGGATGTGTGTATTGAGAATACGGCAAAGCACACTAGGGCTACCTGGCTAAGGGAAGGGATGCCTTCGTGAAGGATTTTCTAAGGGAAACTGGCTCGTATACACGTTACACATGGTCAAAACCACGGAAACGTCCATGCAGCCAGCCCGTTCGCGGGATTTGAACCTCGGACCGAACTACCAGTGTTCAGCGATTTTACCGCTCGGCCGCTGGTGGGCGCACTTATTTGTTTGGAACAATTTTTAAAGTGAAAATTGTATTTGATAAAATGAACAGGGAAAAATCAGTGATAAAATGAAAGGATCATAATGCTTTTAGTTTGCAGTTTCATGGTTTTCATGAAGTTTCATGCTTCGAATCAGCATAATTGTTTTTCGTATTTCCTGCACTGAAAAGTCCTAATAATCTCCGCAACGACGTCTGAATTAAAAAGTGGTGGATGACAATGTTTCTCACATACATTTAGTCGATTGCATCTCATGACTGCCCTCAGTGTCGTTTAAGTGAAAGAGAATTAAGAATTATCGCATTCCTTCCTGCGTATTCTCGTAGTGTCAGTGGTTAGCATTTCCAGCTATACTAGAATATACAAGGTTCAAAATTCCGTTAAGAGCACAATTAATTTTTCGTATTTCCTGCTCCGGAAATCCTAATATTTTAGCGAAATTTGTTCCTTTGGACCGAGCACATCTTAGCTCAGTGGGTAAGACGTCGGATTCGGAGACCGAAAGTTCTGACTTCGAAAACTAAGAAATGCAAGTTGCCTAAAAGTTGATTTTGTTTAACTTTCCTGTCTGTCAATTTATTTTCTTTATGTTCCATTTATTGGAGAATGTTTTCCATTTTCTAGAACCTTTCAAGTCTGGAATGTTTCGTTCATCAAGTCTATATAAGTGGTTACTTTGAAAAGTATTTTGTTCCTACTTTCTGCATGCCTTCGTGGTGTAACGGTCAGTACACTCGGCGCGTATTCGAGAGGTTCGAGGCCTGGCGAGAGCCCGCATCAAAAATAACCTAATATCTCTAGTGGTGCCCGAACTAAAAAAAGTGGTGGATGATGTTTCTTTACCTGTAGGATTTGGCGAATGGGTCCCCTAATTCCAGTCGCCCTTTAAAAGAGGGAATATTTCAGGTATTTGCTTCCTCCTTTCTGAGTGCCTTTGTGGTGTAGGTTAGCACACTCGATGCGTATTCGAGAAGTCCAGGTTCGAGCCCCGGCGAGGGCATTGCTTCTTTTCTCCCGCATCAAAAATAATCTAATATCTCTACAACTTATTCAGTTCGAATAAAGAAAAATCTCGAGTTGAGACTGGAGTAGTTTCTTCTTCACTTGTCTAATGCGATCACTTCATTTGCGAGACAGTATAATGTATAAAAGCACTTTTCACTTAAAGAATAATATTAATCTAATACATTTGCATTAAGTACTTTTCATAATTTAATTGGCTCATAAATTTCAGTCAAAAAAGTAAACTTTCTGTTCAATTACCTGTTAGTTATTTGCGGATTGCTTCGTTTCCGCACGGATTTTTTTTTCGGGAGTGCAAAATTTCAGCCGCGAAATTACGAGCATACATCCTATAATTGCGAGCGTTTCGCGAATTTAACTCCGTGATCGCTCGTGATTTTTTTTTCCTTCGCAATAATAGTACTTCCCTGATTACCTCACATAGAAAGTAATTTTATTCCTGGTAAACTATCCTCTTTTAGCTAGTCTTTTTTGTACTTGCTACAAATTCGTCCAACAAGAATTTTACTATGAAAAGCATTCACGAAAATCTACATTCATATTACACGATCAAAAATTGCTTATTCAATCATTTTCCCTACATTTTCTTCTGGAACCCAGTTAAATTATTTTATGGGCAACAAATTTTTATTTGGGAAGGTTGCGTTATATATTAAATATACCCATTGTTTATTTAATAAGTTACCGAAAAGACCGCTAGGGCTCTCTGCTTAAAAACAGTGATGCCTTCACAGAGAACGTCGCTAGTATTAACGCTATATCCGAGGAAAACTATTTGAGCGTTGATGCAAACTGTCTATTCGCCAGAAGTGAATCCGAATCGAACTTCCTGTAGAGATATCGAAAAGAAATAAAATGAGAAAAGAAATATTTTCTTACTCATTAAATATTTTTTTTTTTTAATTCATTTGAATACATAGCATATATCTTCGTGAAAAACCGTGAAAAGTTATGTTAAACTACTGGTATTTACGATTTTGATCTTTACTGTAACTTCTACTTTCCGTATTCCTCACCAAAATACAAAATTAGCTTATAGTATATTTAAGCTAAAGGCTTTTCAAATTTAGAGAGAAAGTTTTCCTAGCGTTCTCGTAGCCTGGTTAGATTTCTGTCAGCTCTAGCTAAACTTAATAATCTCGGCATTGCTTTTTTTCCGCAGCCGATGTTTTAAACTTACTCTCGATTAAATTATTTAAGCTTAGGATGTGTAGCCAGAATACCGATGAACGTTTAAATTGATCTGACTGTTTTTATTTAATTTGCCTTTCCACAGGCAGTGGTTACCTGCAGCACGAGCCGTGCCCTGTTTTGTTAAAATTTTAGCTCAGGTTGTTCAAAACCTTTGTGAGTCTTGTTACGTTGTTTCAGACATAGCGGTAACTCGCTACCTGTCTAGTAAGGTTAAATGACTAAAGTTCCAGTATTAGACTAAGTGTAACTTTATAAGTAACTTGTAGAATCAATCGCTTATATCGATGCAATAACATGAAAAATACCCATTGCCCTCACGGTATTCAAACTCTGGACCTCCCAATTACACGTCTTCCAGATACATTACGAAGGGGAGATAAAAGGAGACACCAAATACCTCGCAACCGTTATTTTTTTATACTAACTGCAACGAAGATGACCAACTGCAACTTTATTAAAACATATGCATCAGTATAATTCCCCTTTTTTTATAATTTTATAATCTTTCAGACCTATGAAACTGTAGTTATATTGTTTTAAAGTACGTGATAATAAAATAAAATAAAATAAAAAATAAATAAATAAATAAATAAATAAATAAAGGAAGAATGGAGGAAGCACGGCTTTATGTAACAAAATCGTAAATAAATTCAGATATACGTGTTTTGAATATGCTTGCAGTTCATCATTTTGCTCAGAAAAAAATGTCTAAAAGAAATATTTAGTAAATATTAGAAGTCGAAAATTAACCCAGGGCAAAGCAGAATGGTTCAACAGGTTTAAACAGTTTTTCAGTTGACGAAACAGGTGTTCACTATATCAGAAAATGTCTTTTCGCGGAAACGGGGATGATGGATTTGAGGGGGGAAGAAAGAGGAAGAATCGGCACTATTTTGAGCTGAGAATGAAACGACACTAATTCGTCCCCCCTTCTATCTAATCCCCTTCATAGTTAGCCTAATCCCCAGTCCTTATGTTATAAACGTATGTTTGGCACGTGCTGGGATGCGCCTACGCTTACTCAAGGAGAAGATGAAGAAATTAGAAATGACCAGCCAGTTTAACCCAATCTGTCATATACCTTAATAATGTCATATACCTTAATTGTCATATACCTTATACCATTCATTAATCTGTGCACTTTTAATATCCCACTTACATTCGAGATATATGCAGCTCTACAGCATAAAGACTTTTCCACTGTTGTTATTTTATTCTAATAAATGGTTCACTCTTTGAGATCATCATCGTCATTCCTTCTCTTACCCATTGCATATAACCATGTTCGCTGGCAATAACTTAAATAATCTTTTGTAGCACGCTACCTGTATATTCCTTTATTGTCCCGGATGAAATGCAGAATAGATGTAAACATATAACGAATGATATTTTTCATTTTAGTAGTTTTTGGGATTTATTTCTGAATTCTTATCCTGTAACGAAATGATAAATATCTATTGATTTCAAGACTATAAGAAAATGTTTAAAATGTGCAAAATTCAACATAATTCAACTAATCACTAACCATATTTCTATTCTCTAAAATTTATTTGAACTGGCACCCTTATTTCTTATGCTAAATCTTTTCTTTTCTTCTGCTTTCTTTTTTTTTTTTTTTTTTTTTTTTTTAGTCCAAAGGGATTTGA